TCTTCTTCTTCTTCTTTCTCTCTTCTTTGGACTCTATCTCTTTGCAAGTGCTTTCATTTCTTTCGCAATTGGGTGGCATTGTCTTTCATTGTGAACTTGCACTTTGGGAATGACCAGGATCGTAACAATTGGTATCGGAACGGACTTACTTGCTGGCTAGAGGTTTTAGTCACCCTAAACCTAATTTCAAATTAGGTTAGGGCTAACCTAATCTCGGATTAGGGTTGGGAAGTTAGGGTTAAGAGGGGCAGTGAGGTATGTGGATACTGCCCCCACCTGGTTAGGTCATGTAGGGTCGACATCAGACCTGACCAGGTTGCTTGTGTGATTGGATGTGGTGGCGAGACACAAAGGAGGCTGATTGGAGTAAGCGAGAGGGAGTAGAGAGTGAGAGGTACTCGCACCTGGAATCTGCACTTCAAGAAGACATTGAGTGACTTTTGGGCTTCCCCTCAAAAGGGAGATTTGATCGGAGGCTTCCATATCTGCATCGAAGAGCTGCAAGTTGCTACTTTGGTCTTCAGACGTCAACGGGGGATCCGGCGTTGTAACAGGGGTGTAGGGAGGCCCTCTTAGTCATGCTAGGACACTTCGTGTAGTGGTAGCTAGGGGTCAGGAGGACCTATGAGAGAGGGGGGTGAGTCGKTATCCATCTTTGGAGGCCGGGCCTCACAGGTAAGTGTCGTGTGACCTGGTTATGCCCGTGGGAGGTTGCTTGGTGCTTCATGGCCTGTTGGGGTGTGTTGGGCTCTCTTCCTCTTATTTGCGGTCTTGGTTGTGTGTGTGAGCATGTGGATTGCTTTCTCACCTGATGGATGGATGGATGATGTATCTTGTTCTCAATGACATATCTTTCTACGGTGCATTGTCTTTTCATTTTTGAACGGCTGTAGGGGTAAGTTCTTGCTGAAAGTTGTCTTTTCCTTTTCAGTACGGTAGAGGCAGTTTGGGACAGACTTGGTACACCTATCTTGTTGGTCCTGGTCCATGACCTACTTGGGACCTTCGGGACTCAGTGGGACCAGGCCCAACGGGACAGGACCTTTAGGACCCAAATCTGTTGACGTCAACGCATCTCTTTGTCGTGCTGAATTTGGAGGGACACACGACTAGTAAGGACATTCCTTTCAAGGGGATCTTGACTAGTCTTACTGCATGTTCTCACGTACTGCCCCACGTCTGGCTCGGCGACCGTCAACACCTCTCGAAATCTCCATTGCTGCAGTTAGTTTTCTTCGGCTGACTTATTGTGGTACATGTACCTTGTCAGGTTAGACAAGAGGGGATCTCCAGCTAATCTGATCGGGCCCGTTCGATAAGTCAGTCCTCTCTTTCATTTTTAATTATTTATTTATTTATCTTTATTCTGCTGTGTGAATGCCATTCTCTAAGTCCAAATGAATTGCCGCTCCAGTTAGGAGTTCTACCTTCTACTCTTTGTGATTTACTGTTTTTCTTTTATCTGAACTATCTATGTCTGGTATTGAGACGCGTGCGCAGAAAGCGGAAAGAGAGAGAAGGGAGAGTGAAGGTGTTTCTTTTGAGAGTGTGAGGAAGGGTAAGAGGAGTGTTCGTCCAAAGGTGAGCCCCTCTTGAGAGAACTACTGACGCCCTACCCTCCAGCATGGCAGACATCACATCCGAGCAATGGAAGGCCATGTTGGACGCAGCGGCCGAGAGCGAGAAACCTTTCTTTCAGAAACTTTATGAGGACGCAATGCACAGAGAGAGGGAGGCAGAGGCAGCAGCCAAAGCCACAAGTATTGCTGCACAAGTGGCCCTCCTCCAGGTTCAGGAATTGAGTGATGACCGGTTCCAAGAGAAGCTAGCTGCTGTCGTAGCAGCCTTGGTTCAACTGCGGACCTTAGAAGATCTCGAGTCCCGTGTGACAGCTCTAGAGCAGCGAAACCAAAAACTGCAGGCGGAGATAGTCAGCCTCAAACAGTCCTAACTGTTTGCCCCCCCGTCCTCCTAATCCTCGATCTGCTGCAGTCCCGGTCTCTCACCCTAACACAGTCCTCATGTCGAGAGCAAGTGGAACTGTGACGAGCGCAGGAGCCGTGCCAGCTCCTCAAGCGGTAGCGCTGACAATTCTGCACTGGTCCTAGTTCCAAATGTAGGAACATCAGTCCATAACGCCGTAGTTCTTACTGGCGTACAATACAACGGTCCCGTAGTGGACAAGAGGGCGGCCACTCGGCCGTCCAAGTACGACGGGAAGGGGGACATTGCCTCTTGGATTAGCTCCATGCGCTCATACTTTGAGGTACTGCAAACACCGCAGGAAGACCGAAGCATGTTCATGGGCACAAATACTGAGCCCGCCGTACGGAGTTTCATAGAACTCCAAGCTGTTACTGCAGGTTATGAGAGCATTGATCTGACTGAGTGGCTGAAAGTAACTCCAGTACGTACTATTGAGGACCTCCTCATCGCGCAGTATCAAGATAAGTACGCTGCACTCAAGGCAAGGCTAAAGCTTGAGGCCCTCAAGGGCCAAAAGTGGAGGACTTCCATGCAGGCTTTGGAGCAGCACTTGATTGGTTTGTTCACCACTCCAAACCTGGGATGGACTGACGTGTCTTGCATGGATGTAGTTATGGGAATGGCCCCTGAAGGTTATGTCTCCCAGCTAGGACTCAAGGACCATACGACCTGGCGTGAGCTATTGACGGATGTAGTCAACCTAGAAGCCAAGGACCTCGCTAGGCGTGCAAAGGCCCCCGCTGCAGGTAGAACCTCGCGACGCAAGCGGTACGAAAGCAGCAACCAGCTTGTCGTGCATGAACATCGGGAGGCTGAGGATCAGTCCTACGCGGATGGTTTGTCTCTAGATGACGATCTAGAGCCAGACTCCGATATGGGCTGTTCTACATCATCCATTGAGTCTGACATAAATGAAGAAGAAACGGTAATGCCTTCAAAAAGACTGCTTCAAGCAAGGGGCCTAACCGTGGTTTGGGTAGGGGAACTATAACACACCTCGCCAAGAATGTGAAGATCGTTGTGAAGTCGGAGGATGCTTCCACCAAGCCTTGGGAAACTCTCCGCATTAGCCAAAAGGAATGGGAGAGAAGATCCAAACTGCGAGTGTGCTTGCATTGTCAGAAGCGTAGGCATGCTGTGCAGGAATGGTATCGTCTTCAGGGAAATAGGTAAAGGGCATAGAAGAGTTATCAGCACTCTCTACAACAAGGGGAGCTGAACAGTCAGTTGCAGGCCCTTCCAAGGAGCCTGAATCTGATCAACAGCCTGCTCTTGAAGCCCGGACTGATGCTGAAACCAAGGCTGACGCAGTCCAAGTACTTTACACTGAGCCTTGGGAGGAGACTAAGGGAGTTGACTTCCACTCTCACCTGGACCATTGGCTGCTGCTCAAGCAGCAACGCCGTGTTCAAGGGAGTGTGGAACTGACCTTCTTTAAGTTGCTCATTAACCGCCGATACATCCGCGTGTTGATTGATAGTGGCTCAATGACTAACTTATTTTCTCCTAACGGGATTCGTAAGGCGGGTCTGGGAATGGAGCAAGTGGAATTGCAGAACCCTTGTCAGACCCAGGTAGGCAACCAAGAGGTTGTCACCTCAACACATGTTGTCAAAGGTGTGTGCGTCACCTTTGACAAGGATCACACAGTCACACATGAGCTGAACTTTTACATCCTGGACAGGTGTCCTTTCGACGCGGTCATTGGCTAGGGCTGGTTAAATGCTCATTGTCTAAGGACCACGTGGGCGGATACTCAGTTCGTGGTGCGTGATGCAAAGGGGAACGAGCGTACCGTTTTATTGGACGAGACGCGCGAGTCCACAGTGACTCTTTTGAGTGCAAACAAATTCTGCAAAATGGTGCGCAGGCGCAAGGAAGTTGAGTATGTGCATGTAGCTCTTGTAAAGCCTCTCCATGTGCCTTCTACTTTTGCTGCATTTTCTACCTCGGAAAGTAATTCTACGTCTACTACTACTTCTGTTCCATCTACTTCTACTGTAAAAATCAGACTACTTATGATCCAAGTACTTCGAATTCGGTTGTAATGGTTGTAAATTATCAACCTGATTTTCTCTCTCCTGATGAGGATGATCCTCCACCGGAAGTCCCAACAAACATTCGTCGTCTATTAGATCGATTTCCTAAAGTTCTAGCTGAACCTCGTGGAGTTCCCGAGCGTCCGGTCAAACACAAGATCGAGATAATAGAAGGGAGTGTTCCTCCAAAGGGTTGCGTCTACCGTATGGGACAAGGGGAGTTGGAGGAATTGAGGAAACAAATTGACGATATGATTGATCGTGGATGGATTAGGCCTAGTGAGTCTGAGTTCGGTGCACCTGTCTTGTTTGTGCCGAAGAAAGGAGGCAAACTCCGAATGTGTATTGACTATCATGGCCTAAATCGGATCACCAGAAAGAATGTTTCTCCTTTGCCTCACATAGGTGATATGCTAGATGCGGCAGGTGGGTGCGAAGTCTTCTCCAAGATCGACCTCAAATCTGGCTACCACCAGATTGAAGTTGATCCGAGCAACCAGTAGAAAACTGCATTCAAAACATGCGATGGGTTGTACGAATTCATCGTTCTGCCCTTCGGTCTTACGAATGCACCAGCCACGTTTCAGTGCCTCATGGACAAGGTCCTCCCCCATCAGCTTAACATGTTTGTGTTGTTTACCTCGATGACATCCTGATTTTCAGCGATTGCTGACGTAAGTCCATGGAAGAGTACGTCAAGCACCTTGAGGAGGTTTTGCAGGTCCTCAAGGAGGCACAGTTGCACCTCAACTTAGAGAAATCTGAGTTTGGAAGGGACAGCGTCATCTATCTCGGGCACCGGTTGTCTGCAAATGGCCTTGAGCCGGAGGCAACCAAGGTTGAGGTCATACGAAAGTGGCCTCAACTGGCGAACGTGCGCGGATTTCGTTCTTTCCTTGGTTTGGCTTCGTATTACCCAAAGTTTGTACCCAAATTTTATGTCATTGCTCACCCACCCTCGAGACTAACAAGCAAAAATGTTGCCTATGCGTGGTGTGAGAAATGTGAGACTGCGTTCCAAGCCTTGAAAGAGGCTTTGGTAAGTCATCATGTGCTCCGCATTGCGGATCCCAACCTCACATTCGTAGCCACTATGGATGCGAGCCAGAATGGGATTGGTGCCGTGCTGCAACAAGATGATGGCGATGGTCTGCGTCCGCTCGAGTATTACAGCAAACGCATGCCCAGCCACAAGGTAGCTACCTCCACGTATATGTGTGAGCTCTATGCCTTCCGCGAAGCGCTCACACATTGGAAGCACTACCTCTTGGGTCGTCACTTCAAGGTCTACTCAGATCATCGGACCTTACAGTGGATTAAAACACAAATTGATCTCTCTCCGATACTGACCCGCTGGCTGCATGACATTGATGTTTACAATTTTGAATTGAAGCATAAGAAAGGTTGTTATAATCGTGTTGCCGATGCCTTGTCGCGTCATCTTGACCTCCGAAGGAAACTGAAGAAGGATCTGGTCGAACACACTGCCAAGGATCCGGACCTTAGTCCCATCCTTAAGCAGCTCAAGGCTGACCCTAGCAGTCAGCCTGATTTTCATGAGTGCGAGGGTCTTGTATTTCGTCGGTATGGGAAGTTTGATCGTTTGTGTGTACCCAATCATGCGCCTCTCCGGACTCATTTCTTGGATTTGGCACATGGTCGGAGTGGGCACTTCGACTTTGAGAAGACTTATGAAAGTCTTTTGCAGCAGTTTGATTGGCCGAGAATGAAGGGATCTGCTGAGAAATTTATTGCTGAATGTCAAGTCTGTCAAAGAACCAAGGTCCATAGGCATAAGCCTTATGGCCTGTTGAAACCCCTTCCAATTCCTGATGGTCCCGGTGAGTCGGTCTCTATCGACTTCACGGACATGGGGAAGGTGAGCGAGGGAGGACATTCACAAGTCATGGTCATTGTGGATTGTTTTCCCTCATGCACCAACTGAGCTTGTGATCGAAGAATTTCACCAGCAGTACATTCAGCAGTATGGACCCCCGAAAACTCTTGTGAGTGATCGGGGCACCAGGTTCATTAGTGCTGATTGGAAGGACTTCACTTCTCAGATCTACGACATTAAACTCAACAAGACTTTTGGTCGACATCCCGAAGCCAGTGGATTGGCCGAGGAAATCAACCAGACTGTCATCCAACTACTTCGCGCGTTAATTGTTCCAGATCAGTCACGTGGGACAAAGAGGTACACAAAGTGAAGGGGTTATACAATAACTCCATTCACTCTGCAACTGGCGTGACACCGAATCAGCTGCCATATGGTTGGCAGCTGTGCTATCCTCTCTCCTATCTGTTCCCCGAACGGTCCCCTGGTCTGACACCCGGCATGCGTGGCTACAATGCGAAGTATGCACGCCTGCTCAAAGCTGCTATCACAACAATGAACAAGCGTCAGCATGCCATGATCAAACATGCTAAAAAGTCGTGCAAAGAAGGGAAGTTCGACGTAGGAAGTTATGTCTGGGTCAAAATGTCTGAGTTTTCTGACGAAGAGGGCGGTTCTTAAGGTGATTGGGGATGGTTTTGGTCCTTCGTATGTGATTGACGTGCCTCCTCATCTGCGCACATATCCGGTCTTTCACGTGTCCAAACTGTTTCCACACATCGATGATGAGACTTTTCCCTTTGGAGATCCTATGATATACCTCGTCCTACCAACGGCGGCCATGAAATAGACAGAATTGTTTCCCATGAAGGAAGAGGGAGGAACAGACAATACAAGGTGCACTTCCTCTATCACCCGTTGAACGAGTTTTTCTGGATCGACCGAAAAGAGCTGCTAAAGAATGTTCCACGTGTTGTTAACGCTTATGAATGACAGATCGCTGATGGACAGACTGCTAAGTTTTCTGCAAAACTCACTCCTCACGGTCTCACTAAATCTCTCTTTCTGATCTACGCCTACGGCGCATTTTGTGCCGACTCTGAATGAGTTACTTGCTCGAAGGGACCTCGCTCTTTAGAGGGGGGTAGTGTAATGACCCGCCAAAACACAGACTGAGAACACTGCTGATTTCTGGGATTTGCCGCTGGAATGAATGCCTTGCTGAGATTCCCGAGTTCTGCTGTGGTTTCCAAGTCTCTGTGTGTGTGCGTGCCTGCTGAGTTGCGTGCCTGTCTGAGTGCTTGTCGGCTGATTGTGTGTGTGACCCGCAAGGGTACTTGTTGGTTGATGGGCACTGCAGGGCCGTTACTTACCTGTGGCCGGACTTTGAGGGTTGCAGCAGGGAAAACACTCAAGTAGCGGGGTTAGGCCCGCGACACTTAGAGCAGCGGGAAAAACACTCAAGTAGCAGGTAGGCCGGTACCACTCAAGTAGTGGTAAAGTGTCGGGTACTGGAGGCCGAGCAGAAGAAGACAAAAAGTTGGCATTTTTAGAGGCCCAGTAGCGGTAGGTTAGAGGTAGGCCAGTACCAGTC